GTTTGAACTGCTGACCTTGCGGTTCAAACTAACCTTATGGTGGCGTGCTTATCCTAAAGTGTCACACCAGGAGTCCATGTACTAAATATAGACAATACAATATATAGTTAACATAGTAAATACAATATATAGTTAATACAGTAAGTGCATTATATAGTAAAAAAACATTCTAAATGCAGTTTATAGTAAATACCATGAATACAGTATTATACTAAGTATAGTCAACTACAGAAAACAAACTATATGGTACCTCCGGTGGTGGCATTCTAATTGTGCAGGCCTCTATGCTGAGACAAACTTGTGTTTCTGTTACACTGATGTTCAATACTGAAAATAAAAGTTAATTGTGAGTTGTTTAGATTTATCATTCCATCCTATAAATTAAGTATTTTAGAAACAAAAGAAATTACTTTAATGTCATTTATTCAAGTCAGAGACAAGAATAAATGTTTCTTTCACACATGGTACAATTCAAATAATCACCATATACTATCTGCCAGTCTGCATCAGAGATCACTCAAAGATAACTAAAGTCTGAATCAACAAGGATGTGCGTGTATAAAGGACGATTCTTGGGGTATGGTTAAAATAAGAAAATGAGACACACCACAGGTCAGGAAAAAAAACCCCAGCAGACATCTGCTAAAAGTCTAACATCAGCTGATGTAGTGTGGACACAACTAGACTGCGCTCTGCCATAGTCTGAGAGGCAACCTCATTCTTAATCTAAGCAGTCCTTCAACCAACCCTCATGCTCAAATACCTCAGCAGATGCAGTCCAGGTTTCCTACACTAGGTGTCCAAGTGCTTGATGTGATTTAGATGGACTTGTAGCCTATGAGGATCCTGATTACCTTGGGAAGAAAGTTTCAGGGGATTCTGGCTACTGTAATGCTCTGTGAATTCACCTGAGAACTGATTACCAGGAAATGCTCAGTTTGTGAAAATCAAGCAAGCCATCCTCTTATAATTTGTGCTTTTCTGTGGTATACTCCATTTTAATAATAATTAAAGCAGTTCTAACACAAGAGTGAGTAATTTTGCTCTTGTAAGCTGTTATCTTCCATCCCTTATTTCTGTCATCCAAGATACTGTGTGGGGATGAGACTGAGTAATGGGCCATAGCAAGGGCACAGTGATCAGTACAGCGCAATCTAAACGTAAACCAGAATGAGGAAGGCAAACAGGCTTCCACTCCAAGGTCAGCTGAAAGCCAACAGCTGCACATCCACATATGCCTACCCACTAAGTATGAGGAAAACTACCAGGATTGCTGAATAAGGTTTACTGTGAATTCAGGATTTCCACATTATCCATGATCTCTGGACTACTGTTTAGAAGGAATCCTGGTGTGGCACTGTGGGCTAATGCGTCAGACTGCAAAGTCATTTGAACTGCAAGGTCAGTTGTTTAAGCTCACCAGCTGCTCCTTGGAAACCCTATACAGGGTCGTTATGGGTTGGAATTGACTTGATGGCACTTCACAACAACACTGTTTAGAAAATCATTGACCTTCAAGATGACTATGCATATCAATGAAAAGAGTAGATGAGAACTTATCATAAATTATAAACTGTTTGAAATCATTTGTGTGTGTTTTTTGTTGTTGTTGTTGTTAGGTGCCATCGAGTAGGTACCAACTCACAGCAACACTATGCTCAACAGAACGAAACACTGTCAAGTCCTACGCTAATCTCACAAGCGTTGCTTTTCTTGAGCCTGTTGTTGTTGATGCTGTGCCAATCCATCTCATCGAGGCTCTTCCTCTTTTTCCCTGACCCTCCACTTTACTAAAGCATAGATACTCTTCTCCAGAGACTGGTCCCTCCTGATAACGTGTCTGAACTATGAGAGACAAAGTCTGGCCATCCTGGCTTCTAAGGAGCATTCTGGTTGTACTTCTTCCCACACAGATGGGTTTGTTCTTTAGGCAGTCCATGGTACTTTTAATATTCTCCACCAACACCATAACTCAAATGCAACAATTTTCTATGACCTTACTTATTATTCAACTTTCACATACATATGAGGCTAATGAAAATACCATGGTTTGGGTCAGGCGCACCTTAGTCTTCAAACTGATTTCTTTGTTCTTGAGCACTTTAAAGGGGCCTTGTGCTTTAGATCTACCTAGTGCAAAACATCATTAGATTTCTTGACTGCTGCTTCCATGAGTGTGGAAGATTAACCCAAGCAAAATCAAGTCTTTAACAACATCAATATATTCTCTATTTATCATGATGTTATTTATTGGTTCAGTTGTGTGGACTTTTTCTTTTACATTGAGGTGCAACACATACCAAAGGCTATAGTCTTTGACCTTCATCAGGAAGTATTTTAAGTCCTCTTTGTTTTCAGCAAGCAAGGTTGTATCATTAGCATATCGCAGGTTGTTAATATTTTTTCTCCAATCCTGATGCCATGCTTATTTTCATATAATCCAGTTTCTCAGTTTATGTGCTCAGTAAGTACAGTGAAAGAATACAACACTGGTGTACACCTTTCCTGATTTTAAAGCACTTAGTGTCTCCTAATTCTGTTCGAATGACTGCCTCTTGGTCTATGTACAGATTCCTCATGAGTACAATCTGGAATACTCATTCTCTGCAATGTTGTCTATAGCTTGTTTGTTGTTGTTGTTGTTAAATGCCATCGAGTCGGGTCCGACCCATAGCGACCCTGTACAGGGTTTCCAAGGGTGTAAATCCTTACGGGAGTAGAAAGCCTCATCTTTCTCCCGCGGAGCGACTGGTAGTTTCGAACCGCTGACCTTAAGGTTCGCAGCCCGATTCGTAACCACTACGCTACCAGAGCTCCTTATGATCCACAAAATCAAAAGCCTTTGTGTAGTAAATAAAGCACAGGTAAATATTTTTCTGGTAGTTTCTGCTTTCAGCTAAGCTCTACCTGATGTCAGCAATGATAACCCTTTGTCTACATCCCCATATGAATCTGGTCTGAACCTCTGGAAGCTCCCTATTAATGTACTGCAGCAGCCATTCTTGAATTACCTTTCCCAGAATTTTACTTGCATGTAATATTAACGATACTGTCCGATGATTTCCACATTCCATTGGCTCACCTCTTTTTAGAATGGGCACAAATATGGATCTCTTCTAATTAGTTGACAGGTAGCTGTCATCCAAATTTCTTGGCAGAGACAAATGGGTGAGGGCCTCCAGTGCTGTCTCAGTTTGTTGAAAGATTTCAATTTGTATTCCATCGATTCCACGAGGCTTTGTCCTTGCCAGTGCCTTCAGTGCACCCTGGACTTCCTCCTTCAGTATAACTGGCTCGTTTCTTTGGTTGTTGTTGTTGATTGCCATCGAGTTAGTTCTGACCCATAGCGACCCTGTATTGGGTTTCGGTGGAGCATCTGGTAAAGCTTCAACTGCCAACTTTGCATTTCAAACTGACTTTACAGTCGTGTGCATTAACCCACAGCACCACACTATGTCTCTTGTGTCTTTAGGCAACCTTTGTCTGCCTTTCTTGTGTGTGTGTTTTTTTTTTTTTTTAAAGAATCATGTTCTTTTCAAAAGAAATAAAGCTTTGACTTACATCAGTACATTAAAGATTTCTGATGATATGACTGTGAAAATGAAACATGACAGATGCCTTCATAACTAAACTCTTCCATAGCCATACTCCTCTTTAAGTAGAAAAAATGAAAATAGCATTTTCTTACAAATTAAGATGAGTAGAATTATCCTCAGATCAGGAGAATCTGTATTATGACCCACATGGGATTTCCCAGGCAGAAATTCTGAGTACAGTAATATCTGATAATTCTGATATAACCTAACCATCAAAATTAGAACAGCCCAATAATCTGTAACATTGGTTTTAAGCAGTTATTATATTAATGTCTTATCTACTGACATATACATATTTACTTACCAACAGCACTTTGCTTTCCCATCTGAGAAAGAAAATCTCTTCCTTAAAAAAATTAATAAGATCATATTTTAATAGTTCATAAACCATGCTTGATAATGTAACTTTTTAAATGTGAAATTATCAAAGCTAAGGACATACTTTAAAATTATAGTTGTTATACAAAGGTGATCACTCAGGAGAAAAGTATTTTAACTCAAAAGGTATCTCTTCGATTAAAAGGACAGAAATACTCCATTCCTTCCTCACATATTTATCTCCTACACACAGCCACCATAGATGCTTAAACAATAGTATATCAAAGATTCAAACAGATCTCAAGACAAAATTCAGAATAGTCTTTAGAGTTCAACAATATTGCAAATGGAATTCATTTTGATATAATGCATCATCCCATCCATTTGTTTCTAAGTTTCAAATATCATAATAAAACATTAAAATTAAAAGAAAAAAAAAAAAAATCAGTCGGTCTCTGAACAAAATCCCCAAATAAGGCGATGAGATTTTATGTGGTTGCATGCCTGCTCTGATAATACCTGGTTAGAGCTATGCTTAAATAACTGTACCTTAGTAGTTCTACAGTCCTGGTGTGGTACTGTGGGTTAGCGCGTTGGACGGCAAGGTCAGTTTGAACCACAAGGTCAGCAGCTCAAGCTCACCAGCCGCTCCTTGGAAACCCTATACCGTGTCACTATGGGTCTGAACCAACTCGACAGCACTTAACAACAACAAAATAGTCCTGGTGTGGCGCTGCAGGATAAACACTAGACTGTGAACCACTAAGTCGATGGTTCAAACCCACCAGCTGCTCCTCGGAAATACTATACAGGGTCACTATGAGCCAGAACTGACTTAATGACATTTAACATAACAACAAAGTAGTACAGGGAAGCTCGGTGACTCCATAGGATAAGAACTGGACTGCAAACCACAAGGTAGACCATTTGAGCCCATCAGTCACACCACAGGAGAAAGATGAGGCTTTCTGCTCCTGTAGAGTTCAGCCTATACAGGGTTGCTGTGAGTCAGAACCAATTCCACTACACCTAGCAACATTAACAAATTACTGCATCTTGAAATTAAAAGAAGATGAGCATAATAGAGGCAATCAAAGTCATACTTCTCCAGTGACCAGGAGTGATGAAGTTACCTTGCACCAGGAGATGACCAGTTTGATTCCAGGCTGGGGCAAGTCTCACTGTGAGTGAGTATGAGAGGCAATTCTGAAGAATTACAGGAATTACTCTTTCTGGACCTTCCACCTAGGAGTATCAAACATATTGGATAATTTACAGCAATTGGTGTATTCCTAGAAACTTAAAAGAAATGTCTACACATTTGGATTGCCACCTAACTAGCTGGCCTACTTAGGAGATGAATTACAGTCATTGTTCATACAAAGTCACTACCAGGCAATCCCCTCTGGTTCTAAAGTTTTAGAGAAGTTGAAATATACTCCCCGTGAAATCAAGACTACTGTCATGTTCTCACGGCCAAGTGACATCAGCCTACTCTGGTCCGACCAGCTCAAACATCTGGTGTCCTGTGCTGAGGACTGTATGCTTTCCTTTGTATTGTGCACTACCCAGAGAGAATCCAACCTGACTATCTGAACAATGTTCATGCTGTTACTCTAATTCAGCATCAGAAAACCACTAACTACTTACATGAGCAGTGACACAATCAACAGAACATCTTTACTGGTAAACAATCAATTAAAAATTAGGACATTCCAGCTGATAAGAAGAGAGGGCATATGCATAAGAATACCCACACTTGCAGATAATACCCACTTATCCTGGCTTCAGTGACTGGATGATCAGAGCTCAACCAGAAGTAAAAAGAAGAGGGAAAAAAAAAAAAATGTAATCTCATACAATTTGACGAACTTGACCTACACCTATGGAAGCAGTAGCTCAAAAGAGGGAACACGTCCTTACAGCAAGAAATCATTCCCACCCCCTCCACACACAGAGTAGACAAGGATGGGCAACTTGGACATTGGCTACCCAAAATGGGGAGCGGGGGGCTACAAAGGCAAGAAGTGACTGGCTTATAAGCTTTCAAGAGGGAACCTAGATCCAGAGGGCCTGGAGGAAGGTAGAATCTCCAGTG